TAAACCAAGAGGTCTGCTTGAGGTTCAAGTTTACTAGAGTTTGAGTCAGCATCTTTAGCAATTCTCTCAACCAACTTCATCCCTAAATGTCCAGGTGTGGTTTGTTGGGACTAGTTATGTACCAAAGACAGGAGTATATTGAGGGGAGAGGATATCGCAAAGGGATTTGTGTTAACATCCTCTTTTGTTTAATAGACAGAAAGACATTTCTCAAGGAGTACAAGGACAACTCTCAAACTTTAACTCTCAATATTAAAAAACTCCCCATGATCCCTGACCCAAACTTAACCCTGTGGGTTAAAGTTGATGCATTAGTTGTCATACTAAGCTGCCAGGAGCCATGAGACAATGTTCATCTCTGGGACTGAGTTGGGGGAGGCTCTTGGCTTGGAAAGATGGGAGTATAGTGGAAAGAAGCTAGTGCTAGAGAGGAGGATTTGCCTTGGACAGAGGAAGGGCTAACTGGACCCTAAGGAGAGAGAATTCGAAACCATCTGTCATCAATCTGACGTAAGGGATTGAGAAACAAGGACAGCAAACTGGAAAAAGTAGAGGGAAGGAGAGAGAGGGAAAGAGTAGTCAGGTAACCCGTGACTGACCCCAGGAGCCTGAGTCCAGTTTCAGTTCCTGCCAGTTGGCATGGTCCCACCAAAGACTGCCATGAAGCAGCCAACTCTTCCTAGACTCCTTGGAAAACATTAGGGGTCAGCATTGGGTTAACGGCGTACTAGGTTGCATAGTGAGAATTAGGGACCAGCCATATCCGAATGCAAATTTCAGGACTGTGTTGCTTAGAACAAGTAACTTCGCTTCTGGCCTTCACATATCTGGGAAACGTACAATTATCATTATTAATTTATAGCATAGCTATGAGGCTCAGACCAATAGTCCTAAAACTTTAACGTTTATGCAAACCATCTGGGATTTTGTTATAAATACAGATCCTGATTGCTTACGTCAGGGGAAGGGCATCACATTCTGGGTGATGCTGCTGCTGCTGCTGGCCCCTGAACCACATTTTGAATAGGGAGGGGTTGGGAAGATAAGGCATGGAAAGCATGTGGCATGGTGGCTGGAATTCCATAGGCACTCACTATCAGATTTAATAGTTAGTGGGCAAAGGGCATTCTTTAGGATCTCAAGAAGACAGTAATATAGTGACCCAATTGAGTAAACACATAGAAAGTGTCAGATATCTCTGTGGGTACCATCTCTTAGAATTCTCACAGCAATCCTATACGTTTATTTCCATTTTACAGAGAATAAACTAAGTGGGTCCCATTGCCAAATAACATGCCCAGATTACACAAGGGACAAAACCAGGGTTTGAAGCCTCATTGCCTAATTCTCTCCTTTGGTGCTTGGTCTTGGCCCTAGGGCATTAAAAGCCTTGCGGAGAACAGAGCAGCCATAAACCTCAGCAGCAGGTCATCTGTGTCCTCTGAAAGGACCTATCTGCATAACTCAAAACCACCTTTCTTCAAAACAAAATGTTCCCAACTTGTGATAGCTATGTTGGTTCCTCTGATTTGATTGTTACATGATATATATGTGTATCAAAACATCACTTTATACTCCATAAGTATACACAATTATATGTCAATTAAAAATAAAAATAAATACATATATTTTTATTGTCTCCCCAAAAATAGAGAAGAATATCCTACTGAAATTACCTGAATTTCGAAATTATACAATATGTACCCCCAAAATTTCTTTAGCCTTTCTCTTAATGTTTTCATTTTCTAAAGGTGATTTTTTTTGTTTGTCTCCCATTATAGCTAGCACTCCATTGCTTGGCCTTCATTTTTAAGAGTAATACATAGAAATAGAAATAGAGCCAATTCATAGGCCTATATCATTATGTTATTGTAAAGATAAAATGCATAAATACAAAGAAAGAACTTAAATCTTCTAAAGTCTCTTCTTTTCCTGTTTTCGAATTCAAAATCCCATTGCTAATGAGAATTCCAGACCTTGAGCAAGTTATTTAATTTCTCTGTGTCTCAGTTTTATCATCTGAAAAATGGACTCATAATAATACTTATCTCATTTGACTGTTGTGAGGATTAAATGAATCAGTAAGATCTTAGAACAGTGCCTAGATCAATAAATGTGAGCTATTTTCTAAGGCATTGTTTCAAGGTAATATGTGCTAGACTCTTTATAAAGAAAAACAAAATTTGAAACCTGGCTTTCAAATTGCATTTTCCTTATAATCCTCTGCTTTTTAACTCAAAAAATGAGTCTAATGTAGTCTTGTTTCGAGACATAAGGCAATTAGATATTTCTTAACAATGGGATTAAGCACAGAAAGTCCAAATGTTATAATGCAGGTTTATTAGGGCTGAGACAGCTCAATAGATGGCTTTATAAACCTTTTCAATATGCACCACAGCCTCTAAGCATGTTTAAACGGACTGTGAAGTTAGGACATCTGTTTACATAATGGCTTCAAACTGAACAACCATCATTTTCCCAGAACTAGCATGTGGGTGTTGTTCTGAAAATCAAAATAACATAGAGGTGAAAGACAAAGCCCCACACATTATCAAAGAAAGCCTTCAGGTAGAGAATTCAGAAGAAAAATCACAAGATATTCCACTCTCCTGACTGGATTCCCCTAAGGCTGAGGAACAGAGTAAGGGAGGTTAAGAGCTGGAATCTCCCTAGTTGTGAAGACATGAGGATTTTCTGAAAGGTCCCGAGAACACAGCTGTCATTTTTACCATTTCTCTCCTTACCAATGTCACCAGAAATGAGGCTACTCATTATAGCTGAGCTGGAAAGTATGATTTAACATCCTTTGTAAACTGTTAAATTTAAAGAGCAAGAAATTGTCTCCCAGCATCCTGGGGAAAGAATATGTCCAATAAATGAAGAGGCAAGCAGATAGAAATGCCAGAACTGAGGTTCCAGTACACAAGCTGGCACTTCCTTCTCACATACCATTATATCCCTTTATTTAGAATGTAAGGCAACTAAGAGGGCAAGAACATCACAACAAAGGATCACTGGTATGCAACATCCCAACAGTCTGCCCAGGATCCCCTCTCAGAGAGTAGCACTGATGAGCATAGGAGGGACGTGATCACATCCCAGGTATCACTCTCCAGATGTTAAGGAAATCCCTTCCTGAGAAATAAGCGCTTTGATAATTACACCTGGAAGGGAGCCTGGATAATATCCAGTTGCAATCTCCCCTCCATTTTTGAACTGAGCAAAGTAAGACCAAGAAAGGTGAAGAGACTTGTCCAAAGGCACCTCATTATTGATGAAAGAGCTAAAGACAAAAGCTGCATCTCTAATTTATTTGGTTATTCGTTTATACCCTGCCTTTATAAATCCATTCTAGCAGCTGTTGAGAATGTATCCTACCAACCCACCCTGTAAAGACATCATACTAAGCAAGAGCGATGTAAGGATGAACAAGGAACTCATCCTCTGCATTTTAACTTTCTCAACTCAAGATATTTTGTCCGTCCTTCCCCACAGTTTGCAAGCTGTCACAACTTTATTGATTCTTAGAAGCATATTCAAAGCTATGTCAACAAAATCTCTCACCTACGACTTCTGCTGCACACTGAACCTTCAGAGAAAATTTAATGGGCTGAATCGATTAGCTATTAAGTTAAACCATATAACATTTCCATTTCTGCAGATCAAAACTGGTGAAATATTGCCAGCGTCCCATGATCCAAGCTAACATTCATAAGCAGCCTGGAGTCTCTTAAGAAGAAAATCACCCTTCGTTCTGATAAGTCATCCCAGATATTCCATGAGAGTGTGTTGTATGGGTTTCAATTAGCCAAGTACAGTCTGGAGAATAGATAAATAAATAAATGGTGATGTACACATACAATGGGATACTGCCCGGGAATAATAAAGAATAAACTAACCACTTAACACAACATAGAGGAACAAGGAGAGACATCATGTTGGCTGGAAGAAGCCAGATACAAATGAGCACATGCTGTATGACCCAATGTATGTGATAGTCCAGAAAAGGCAAAAAAGTACTTGATTGTGATAGAACTCAGAGAAGCAGTTACCATGGAGAGTGTATGGTTGCATAAAGTAACATGAAGAAAACGTTTAGGGCACTGAATGTGTTCTATATCTTGAACCACATATTGGTCACAGGGATTTAAACATACATAAAAATTAATTCATCTGTACATTTAAAATCACTGCATTTTGTCCACTTTGTTACCTGAGTACGTATGTTATGTCCAGGTCTTTAAAAAGGACGAAAGTGCTATTCTCTGACCCTCAGTGATACAGTTTAGCATAGTGGTAAAGCAAAGTTCTGAAGGAAGACACTATCTGCCACTAACTAGCTATTTGGCCTTTGATGTCATATTGAACCTCCATAAGCCTTGGTTTTCTTATGCCTGAAATGGACATAAACAATAACACCTCCATTACAGGGTTGTGGGACTCATTAAGTAAGATAATGTTTAAGAGGCACATAGCACAGAAGAGGTGCTCAAGAATGGTTTGTGGGTACTAGGAGTAGCACCAATATAGGTACCTTCCTGAGAGCCCTCACTCCTTGCAAACACATCAATTCCAGGGAAATTCTTCCCTGAACACCTCTTATTCCTCATGTGGTCCTTGATGGAGACGTAAGAACCAGGTGTTAGCCCAGCCCCCACCCGCAGGTCTCCTGCCCAATTGTGGTTTCCCCTACATACCAGCAGGGTATCTGGGAGGTTGTGCCGCTCTGTGAAGGTGATGACCGCGGGGATGATGTCCACTGCAGCAAGCTCCAGTGTGGCTGTGATGATGGAAGGTGTATCATAGGCCCAGCCAGTCTGGAAGAACACAGTCACCTTCCTCATGAGAAGACCCGAGCGTACACGTTTGAACACGTGTCTTGCCATAAATCTCATGGTGGCCCCGAGGTTCCTGCGGCCAGACGACTGCTCCAGGGGGATGTTCCTGACAGCCTCCAGGAGTGCAGCTTTCCCCTTGTAGTCTGAGAAACGAACCAGGTAATTGGTTTTGGCATTGTAGGAAACAATGGCCACACGGGCACCTGTTGGGCAGTTACTGTCACTTATTTCCATCTTCATCAGCAGAGATAATAAAATGTCTCTCATCCTCTCAAAATCCAGTGGAGAGACATCACTTGACATGTCCAAGGCAAAGGCTACTTCAGTTGGGAACGCTGGGCATCTGGAAATACCTTGACACAACAAATACGCAGATTTTATATGTTCTGTAATGCCTCTAAAGAGGTAAGGATTTAAGTGAGTTAGAAGGAATATTATTTACCTCTTGAACAAGCTGGAAGGGAAATTATTTTGGAGAGAAAAGAAGATATTGTTAGCTTAGGTAGGCAGTGGCACCTTTTCCATGTGTGTGTTTCAATCTCCTCTGAGAAATTCAAGCATAGCCTTCTCAGACTCCTGCTGAGTGTGGCAGAGACCTCTACGTGTTCCCCAAAATCCATTCTCCCTTTTTTCTATAGTCATGGAACCCCCAATTTCGGATTGGGCACATGGATGCCTGGAACAAGGACAACAACTCCCAACTTCACCAGATGGTGAAGTTACAAGTTGTAGGTAATAGAATAGGAAGGATAATGGGCACAACTTCGAAAAAACTATTCTTCTCCTTTCCCTTCCTTTTCCTACCAGCTGAAATATAGATACGATGACTGACCCTTGATTTATTTTCAGACCATGAGGTAATTTGGGGAATAGAACACCCTATATACACACAATGGCAAAGGAAGAAAATGTAAAGGGACTGATCCTTGACCATCACGGGCTCCACATCAACCTGAGCTGACTAGTTCCAGCCTATGGTTTCAGAATAACATTTGTACCCTGTCACTGAAAATTTAGGTCACTGAAAATTTAGGTCACATTCAACTGAACTGAAACCTAACAAATACATTGAGCTATTCTGAAACTATATTCTATATATTTATATGACATATACACATACAAAATTACATATATATAATTATAAACTATATGTATTACATATGTGTGTATATATAAGTAATATATTTTCAAGGAAAATACTAAAAAAAAACAAAAAAATTAGAATTACTCTTAATTCATCATGTATATGTATTTACGTACATAAATATATAATTATTTCATTTCATTTTATAAAACTTGGAGCTTAAGATATAGTCTATTCTGAATCTTTATTCACTTAGTATGTGATTATTTTTTCCATCAATGAATTTAGAGCAATATTATCTACTATAGAGATGACCCTTTATGAGGAGCATACTAGTACATGTATCTGTCCACATTTGTCCAATTATAGCGCTATATAAATCTCTGTAAGTTTGGATTTTATATGCACGGTCCAGCCAACTGCTCTTCAGAAAAGTTGTATCAATTTACACTCCCACAAGCAATGTGTACTCTTACACATTTCCCAGTCTGAACAGGGATCTTTCTGGCATTTTTAAAACACTTCCAATCTGAGAAACAAAATGGGTGTCTTTTTGTTTTAATTTGTATCCTTTGACTTCTAGTGAAGTTGAACACTTTTATAGGTTTATTGTACATTTGTATATATATTTTTCTGAATCTCCAATTCATATCTTTTGCCCATTTTCAACTTAAAAGTGGTGTTTGTTTGTTTTCACATTCAGGTTTAGCCATTATGAAATGTCTGTGTTTGTAGATAAAAATGATTGAGCAGTAGCAATTTTTTATTTCAACATGATATAGTAAGGAAGTTAGTTCCTTTGTCTGTGTCCTTTGCTTTTATTGCAAATAATTTTTTCCCACTTTTCTGTTTACTTTTGACTTCATGGCATCCCTCAATGTAAAAGGGTTTTCACTTTTTACATTGTCAACTCTGACACTCTTAATTCCTAATCACACTGATGGTATAATTCTTTATTTCTAGGAAAAAGAATTCCAGAATCTCCCTGAACAGCCACTGGATGGGAACAGAGAGAACATGGAAGTGTTAGGGTATGAAGGGCAGGATGACTGTAGAGAAAACCCAAACTTCCAAATGAAGCCATTTGCCAAATCAACATTCTCGCCCCATGGCCGGTAAGTAGAGAAATGTACATATCACAGGACACAGATATCGTGGAATGCATTGAACATACTAAAATTCCAACATGGGGATGTGACAAAACATTACTTAAGATTGGATTGTTCATAATTCCATTTTTAAAACACAACTGTAAATAAAATAGGACAGATTTCTTCTCAGAGGGTGACCATTGATCCCTCTTGTGTAAAAGGGTTAGATAAAAAGAACAGAGCTGCTCTGTTCTGAGATAAGAGGCGGCAAGATATAGACACGCAGGTGTGCAGTTTGACATCTCCTGGGGGCACAGTATTGATCAGTGGAGCTTCTTTTCATTGTTGAGATGGCATGCTCTCAATCCACTTTATTTCTGCGACTACATTAGGGAAGATTACTTACCTAATGGGGAATGGAGCCCAACGCATGAATTTATAAAAGCCTTTCATGATGAATAAGGCACCTCCCAAACCTCAGCCAAAGCCTCAAGTGACTTATGATCCTAATCCATAATCCATCCCCAGCTCACACCACTGGCTCCTTTTGAGCCTTTCCGAAACAACTTACGGCAGTTTTTGCGTGTGAAATCAACAATTTTGCAAGGCTGTTAAAAAGATGGAGAAAAATAGGAAAAAGTAAAAAGTATTTAACTTGAAGCATATTTCTGTTCATGCTTGTCACTTAGGAATGTCATATGGATGTTATCAGTGCCTATCTGAAGTTTTTAATCTACAACAGAAAATCCAAAAAATATCAGAGCACATGAGACTATTCTACAATTACATTTCCAAATACAGTCGATACTTTAAAACATTTAAAAGATGTGTATACAATATAGTGCCCATATTTCTGGAGATAGGCACATAAGGGATACACATTTTTTAAATCTGCCTTACAAAGCTGTGGAATCAAACCTGGTTTTGAGGAAGTTGAAATCAAAGAATCTAAGCAGAGAATGCAGGTAAATGCTTTCAATTCTTGGCACTCTATGCTATAATAGCAATTCCTGTATCACTTCATTAGAATGACTGCCAAGACAGGTACCCCTAACAGCTTACCTAGTCGTTCTGCTTCTTTCCTTTGATTCCTTCCTCTCTGTTCTGTTCTTCCCTCCATCCAAGACATCACTTCCTGCTCCTCAGTTGCCTCCACACCACCACCCCACACCCCCCACCTAATAGTATTTTTGTACTTGGGAGATAAAACGCTATCATAACTTTTGAGATTGTTTTCAACTGTGCCATGAAACACAAAAACCTGTGTTATATAAAGGCCTGTGTGTGGGTTTATAAATACTTTATAAGCAGTTTTTGAGCTTTACAAAAAGTCACATTACAAAAGGTGGTAGCCTCAAAGTCTTTTTTTCTTTCTTTTTAATGTCAACTAGTGTTGCTCAAAGACACCCCAATTCTCTGCTGGATTTAAAATATCATTCTACTTTTTGTATTTGACTTGTGATAACATTTCAGAGTAGTCTGTAAACTTAAAGTACTAACAGAATTTGTAAGAGGAAAAAAACTAAAGAATCTTTAAGAGTAACAGATTTCTATTTTGCGAAAGTGGAAAGCTTCGTGTTCTAAAAAGACTAAAGTTTTGGATGGGTGCAGTGGCTCATGCCTATAATCCCAGCATTTTGGGAGGCTAAGGCAAGTGGATTACTTCAGGTCAGGAGTTCAAGACAAGCCTGGCCAACATGGTGAAACCTTGTCTCTACGAAAAAATACAAAAATTAGCCAGGCATGGTGGTACATGCCTATAGTTCCAGCTACTTAGGAGGCTGAGGCAGGAGAAGATCTTGAGCCCGTGAGGTGGAGGTTGCAGTGAGCCAAGATGGTGTCACTGCACTCCAGCCTGGGTGACAAAGTGAGACTCTGTCTC